GCTAGCGCGGTTGGGTGGAAAGTTAAAGCACTCGACCCCACTGCTTTAGTAGTAGCCTCAGACTGCGATCCGATCATGGTAGAAACTACTGAAGAGAAGACCAAAGACCTAATGAAGAGAGTCACCCAGACTTGCGACGCTAGTATGTCTCGGAAACGTGGCATGAACTCAAGACCTTCAGTGCACTGGTGGAACGATCACATTAGCACTCTACACTCAGAGTGTCTTAAAAAAAGAAGAAAGTATCAGCGTGGCTATAGACGACCTAACTCCGCAGAGCTGTTGGCAGAGTACAAAAAGGCCCGTCGAGAACTGAACAGAGCCATCAAAGAAAGCAAAAGACGCTGCTAGAAGGAACTGGTCGCAGAAATCGAGAAAGATCCATGGGGCAGACCGTACAAAGTGGTTATGACCCACCTGAAATACCAGCCAATCCCATCACCTACGTGTCCACAGCTCCTAGAGAAGATTGTTACTGCGCTGTTTCCCCAACAGCCCGTATTCACTTACAAGGTGGAGCAGCTCAACCCTGAAGACATCCCAACTATCACGTTGGATGAGTTGATAGAGGCAGGCAATAGAGTAGGGAATAATAAGGCACCGGGATTGGACGGAATCCCTAATATTGCCCTGAAATCAATCCTTAAGGCAGCACCGACATTATTCCTGGACGTCTACGATACAGGCCTGAAGGAAGGGACTTTTCCCCAGAAGTGGAAACAGCAACGGCTAGCGTTACTTCCGAAGGGAAAAAAACCGCCGGAAGAACCATCATCCTACCGACCACTCTGCATGTTAGACACGGCCGGCAAAATATTCGAGCGCATAATTCATCAGAGAATAGAGGCTTTAGTCGATCCACTCCTGGCAGAGAACCAGTTCGGTTTCCGAAAAGGACGGTCAACTCTGGATGCAATCAAATTGGTTGTTGATACAGCCAAGGATGCAATCGCAGGAACGAGATGGAAGAGTGGAAAGAAGAAATACTGCTTGGTGGCTGCTTTGGACATCAAGAATGCCTCCAACTCCGCTAACTGGGACTGTGTTATGCGAG